AAAAGAAAAGAAAAATAAAAAGAAAAAAAAGAAATAAGAGAAAGAAAAGAAAGAGCTCAAGGCTAGTAAAAGAATTTTAGGGTTGTCCTAGTGGTTCTAGCCTACACCAGATGATGGGCCTTTGTCCTCCCTTTACTTTAGAGCATTTACTAAAAAAGCCTTAAAATTGTGAATATGTAGCTCATCTCTTACACCCCAAGGATGTCTTTCTCAGGGACCAGAAAGCCATTTTTTGAAATGCAATTATCAGAAGGCATAGGGCCTCTGTCTCCCAGTCTCTGCGGGAGGATAGAATCCTAACTTCTATAATTTCCAGCTAACTGACACAGCTGGTCGAATACATCAGCGCTGACCAACTACGTAATTTTTTGCTTCCCTGACTCTGCTCAATACCCTGCTGCTCCCCTTCTCTACTCCCTTATTCTCCCTTTAAAAAGCCCAGTCACCTCTGCACAAATTGATGTTGAGTTCAGTTCACAGGGGAGTATCTTTCCTACTGCAATAGTATATTACTGATTAAAATCTGTCCTTATCGCTTTAACTGGTGTCCAGCTTTGTTTATCTTTGACAAGACCAGTTGCTAAGGACTCGAAGCCCTCCATCAGTGTGATTGTTTTAGGGTGGTGGGATTATAATCATTATAAATCATTAGGAAAACCATTCTCTGTGTTTCTGAAAAGAATAATCCCTGCACATTGCCATGAATAAATGTTTAACAAAACTTTTCTAGGAAGTGATTCTGATTTATGAATTCTGCATTAAACCATCTAAGTACATCTGTTATGCACAGCATAATGGTAACTCTTTGAGTACAGATTTCTTAGAATCACAAATGATGTATAAATTCCCAGCGATTTAAGCATTTGGAGGGGTGTGAGTATGTCCTTGGTGATTGCCTATTATACTCAAATGCTAGGTTTATACCGTGGCCTTTGTTCCTTCCTTTTGTGTCTCAGGATCTGGAAGTGCAATCTTGTGTGGGGGCAAAGAATTGCTACCTAAGAGGAATATTTCTGCATGTATTAGACAGTGTCCACTTGTCTTTAATTTAGTGTTTTGCAATATATCTCAGAAATGATTAAAATTGCCTTACAAAGAAGGTAGAAGGAAAAGAGTTTGCATTAACTTCAAGTTTTGGTGTCCCTTATAAGGCCTGGTGTTAGAAAGACTGACTTTGGGATCATACCTCTTACCTTTCACCTTTGACCCTTCTCACACCCCTTAAGTTGGAGTTGCCTGAACATAGCATATGCTAGGATTCCACGGTTTTATTCTTTCTGTACGTTCTAGTCTCTTGCTCTTGGTGTTTTGACTCTGTGATGAACTTTTGATGACCTTCAAAATCAAGTCTGAGCCTGACTCTGTTGTGAGGCAGCGCCCAGGTCTGCACCCATGAGCCTCATCGGCCTCCTCTGGTCCAGCCTCTGCTGCAACACCAACCGCTTGAGCACACTCACTTCCGGTCCTGGTGGTGTTTGTATTTCTTGTTACATATAACTTCTCACAGGGCAAGAAACATTGTATCCCGATGTCAAATACTATTTCCAGTACAAACTAAGGATTCAATAAGTGTTTATGGGACAAACTACCGAAGCTCTTATTGTTACCAGAGATTAACTGATACTAAAGATTGTAATCGAGAGCTGGGATTTAACTTTTCTCTCTTTCATCCAATCCAATAGATATATACATGCATGTGTGCACACTCCCTTCCCCAGAAATGCAAGATGATTTAGTCAAAAATCTGTAAAAATTCTGAAAATTACACACGTCTGATCACAGGCTCCCACCCCCTCTGGCCTGGACACGTCGAGGCGGGCTGCAGGAGGAGGTGTGGAGACACATAAACTTACATTCTGCAGCTGGACGTGACTCTTCACCAAGTTTTCTGACTTTGTCATTGTGCTGGACACTTTGAGACTGTAGTTTTTACCATTTTGCGGCACTTTCAGCTGCTCTTGGATTTGTTTAGCCTGTTTCCTGCAGGTATAAATAAATACGTGTATAAATATTTGCACAAATTCATTCTATTCCTATTTTTTGAGATTTATACATTCTGAACATCTACATTTGTTATTTGCTAGATGAACTCAGTTAACAGAGGGAGCCTTTCTCTCATTTTCAACCCCACCAAGAAATACTTCCAACGTAGAAAGAGCCTGGTGTCACCCACGGTCACCCAGGATTCACGCTCAATGGTATTTCAAAGGCAGAAACATAATGTGTTGTCCTGGCCCCCAAGGATGCAAGAGGCCCCTGTTCCTAAGTGCTCGGCTGCGAAGAATTGGAAATGCCATGGGAAAGTGACCAGAGGAAAAATTTGAGACTTGGGTCTAATGGCCACAGAGAACATATTTGCAAAGTTACATTTACATTTGTACAATTCAAATATGAATTACATGACTTGCATGTAACTACATGACTTGCATATGTGCTGT